ATCTTAGTCACTAAATTATATTTATTCATTGTTTTTATTACTTATATATTGCAAATATAAAAACATAGCAAATACTTAGCGTTAAATTTTATAAATACAAGTATTATGATAATTTATTTCACAATGGATTATCAAATATATATATGATATTATATATACGTATAATCTTTTTAAAAAATCTCATAATACATTTTTAAATATATATGTAATCCTTTTAAAATTTTATAATACATTGTCAAATATATATACGATCTCTTTTTAAAATTATAATAGTTTGTATAACAATTGTCTATATATTATATAATACAATTAGAAAATTTATCCTTGATAGTAAAGTAATTATTTTTTATATTATATTTAAACAACTTATTTTTATTTTATAATAAAAAAAAAATAAACAGTATATTCAATAAAATAAAAAGAATTTATTTATATTGCAATTTTTCTATAAATATAGTTATTTCCCCCTTCTCAACAAATGAACGAAAAAAAATGTCTAATCAAATTCATAATATCTTCACCTTTGACAATAAATATGAAATACAGATAAATTTATCAAATGATGTTCTATTACCTACTAATAATATTATCCCTATTTTACAAATAAATTATTTAATCAATAATTAAAATTATCACTATCACATTGGAGACTTTTACCAAAATTACAAAGATTATATAACAGATTTCAGAATAATATTCTTATACAATGGCCTCAAATCACTTGCGAAAAACTCTTATATCCTGAAAAAATAAACTGAATATTTTATAACCAATCAGCTACCTATCCTTATAACAACATGTATCTAACATTTTTATATTGTTCTTCCCAAATGTTAACTGCATTTCTGATTTAAGAGTCTCTACCTGTGAATCTTGTAAAAAACTTTCTATGAGATCTTCTTTCCCTTACCTTTCTCCTTTATCAGAAGAAATTCTTTCAGTATTTTTACATAAGAAGAGATACTTGTCTCCTATTTACCTTCACTGTTCTTTAGAAAGAACACCTAATAGCAATTCCTACTCTGAATACAGAAGCTTAACTGGTACTATAAACTACTTACATAATATCAGAGCTCATATCTTATACTCCAGAACCTTAGAAGTATTCTTAGAATTAAAACAAAATATCAGTACTAATCATGAAACCTCAGCTTATGATAAAACTTTATGATGAGCTATAGCTTAGTTAACAGAAAATATCCCTACCTTTGACCTTTTATAATTATCTTGACATCGAATCATGAAAATCAGATCTTAAATGATCCTTTCCTAAGGGTAACACATATTCAAACTGACATTGACGCATCTTCCATTAATATGCGTAATATAGTAGTTCTAAATTCTGACTTTTCTAATGAAATTCACAATGAGAATTTTTATTATATCAGGTTAATGGTAGGTTTCATTTATGAAAATGAAACGTTATGGCTACCTATTTCTATCTATGACCTGAATTTGGAACTCTTGCTCTTTCTGGATCTGTTTACAGATAGAAGGAGACACTTCCATAATCTATCAATCTAAAATGAATTTATTGCTGAATCTTGTGATAAAACATATAGAAAATATATTAAATTACGATTAATGAACCTCAAAGACTTCACCACCATTGGTCCTATTAGTCATATCTATAGTTAGAAAAATTGAGACATTATCAAAATATTCAATGATTATTATAATAATCTCAACTTACTTCAAACAACATAAACCTTCCACTCCTTCTAAAAGAAATTTACTTCAGCAAAGTTCTTACTTGTCTCGTAATATAATTTATAAAATTATAATGACATCTATTCTATATTTATACATACTGGAGACACTTAATTTTATCAGAAATAACTTCACTTAAATGTAATGTATAAAATTGGTTACCTAATTTGTTCATAATTCTTAACATAGCTAAAAACCGCTAGACTCATGAAGGAACTTTCACGTGATTAGCCAATTCTAATTAATTGATTGACATATTATTTATTCAGTTTAGAGTACTTTTTTAGAATATAGTGTTACCATTAATAAAAGTAAAAAAAATTCACTTCAAAAGAGCTTCAAAACTTACCTTGTAAAATAATCAAAAAATAATCAAAATTCTTGAGGTACTTTACTTAGAAGAGAAATATGCCTATTGTCAGATTATGTGTTATTACTATTTATCAAAAACAGTCAACCCAATGGAGAAAGTTAACTAAAAATGTTTTTACCAAGGGTCAAGCTAACAATATATTACCAAGTTATATCCAAAAAGGTGATACTATTTGTATGAACTGTTATAATAGAATTATAGTGAACATTTTATCTGAATTTCAACAACATACTCAAGATAATACAAATTATAAGGCAGAAGAGATGACAGATTAATGAGGTTGAAAGTATTGATGCTACTTTATCTTTTTTTTAAGTAATAACAAAAATAACCAGTATTTTATATAGGCAAAAAAAAAAAAGAAGCTGACTATATACTCATTTGATGAATTTAGAATAATCATGAAAGAGGAGAATGTAAGGTTAAAATCTTTTTTTGATGAATTGTATTTATCAACTAACCCATCCTCAAAAAATAATGATTACTGAATGTGAGCGAAAATCTGCTTTTATTTATTTATTACTTTCTTTGTGAGATTTATAATAAATTTGTAATTGATACAAAAAGGGATTTAATGATGTATTTAGATTCTACTAGCCAGTGTATAAAATTTAAACCAAAAATCATGTGCATAAGTTGTACTAAAAATAGAAAATTAATGCATGTATTATGTAATATTTCCATTTTATAAATAATTTATCAATTTTTATATATAATTTATCTAATTTTTAGTAATTATTTGTGCACATTTTATAATGTATAATATGTGTAAACAAAAATTTAATGTGCACTTATGCACATTGTACACGTGAATTTTACACACTGCTATTAGCACTTCTAATTCTACTATAAATACTCTTGCTGATCTAGGTATAGTTACAACATCTTGTATGATTACACAACACAAGAATGCTATATTTAAAGAATATGCTAAGACCGTTGATTCTGCACTTGCTGATTATACAAAGAATGCAATGATATTAAACATTAACGATTACCACAGTATTTATACAAAACAGATGCCAAATATGATCACCGCATCTACTGCTGCATATTTGGTAACAGTTTTAATGAATTCTATCGCTATACAAAGAGCAATTTTGAATATAATTATACATAATCCTATACTTATTGATGCTGAATTAATTAAAATAAATGTTGCAAATAAGTTTATGATGCTTTATAGTTTTTCACATAATCAGTGATAGGAATTTCATGCAATTAATAATGATACGAGATTGGAGAAATTAACTGTACATATTTATGATATTAGATTAAAGAAAAAGTGTCATGTTTGTTCAATAAAGAATGTGATTCTTGTAGATTTACAAGAAAACAATTTTCATTCCTTAGATGCATATCTTAAGGTAATTGATATTATTGTAAATATTTCCTCAATGCTACAATACATTCAGAAAGGGTATATCATATATCATTCTTATTGTTGCCGATTGGCCTAGACAGATTTATATTAGAACAGCAATTTCACGTTATTTAACTTATCACAATTTATCAATACTATTTTATCTTTTCTTCCCATTATAGGTCTTTTATATATATCATTAAATAGTCGAGAATTAATCTTTCTTCAATACCAGCTTTTTTTTAGCTATTTACAAGTTTATTTTTGAGGAAAAGAAGTCACTCGTACAAAAACCCAAATTATGGCATATTGACCTCCTTCTAGAAATTACTCGCAGTGCTTGGTAAGAAATTTTTACAGTTGTTGAAGCAAAATTTGGACCTCTGTGCAAAGATGCTAAATATCTTGCACTTAAAGACTTTCTTGATAACATATTTCCTTTAGTTCTAGATATCTATATCATATTTTTTTGATCAGGTAATTTTGATGATTACTTGGAATCTTGTTTTGTATTTGGACAGTATTTCTTAAGTTTAATCGCAAAAACTATACTAAAATACCATTGATGTTTCTTTCTGATATTTTTTATTGGAAATTGAATAATCATCTAATCCTAGAGGTTATCAAGGCTGAATTTCCAAAGTTTTCAGATTTGACAGTAGAAATATTTCATAGTTTTTTACGTAAGAGTACACAGAAACATACGGATATGTAGCAGATTATTAAGTATGAACGATATATTAATTACTTACGTTTAGATGATAATAGATTTAAGGAAAACTTTACATATACATCTATATGAACTGTCTATAAATACTCTGCAAGAGATATACGTTTTTGACAAAAAAAATGCTTGTTTTATTTTACAGTGTTTTCAAAAATTTATATATGTATATTTAATCATAATTCACTAATAACATTTCAATTACAGATTATCGCAACCTTATTTTCAAAGAAGAAAGAAAAGTTAATGATATTACTGTTTCATTAACTGCAATAAAAATGCCAAAAGCACAATTATATCACCTTCCTTTGGGTTTTAGTACTTTATATAAGCCAGATCCACTTCGTTACTGTAATTTATCTAACTGTTTTAATTTTTCACCTATTAATATAGATCTAATTAAAATTTTATCTTGCGGCCATACTTATCATACATCTTGCTATAACAATAACAGGTTAAAATACTTACATTACCTATTATTCCTACAAAATAGTATCAATGAACATGTCAAATCCTTATTGAAACATTTGCAACGTTTCAATAAACAAGAAGTACAAGTCAATAAGTCAGAAAATGACATTCCTTGTGATAACAATGATGAAACTGAACTAATAAATTATATAGCATATGCATTAGAACAGGCATTGCAAGAATTTCAATTACAATAAAAATTTTGATATTAATTCATATTTTTAATGACTAAAACTACTATAATTATTGTATAATATTAATAAATTAAATTATATTAATTAGACATTAAGTTGTAATCTTTAAAATGTATGCAGTTTAATTTTCTAAAGCTAAAAATAAATTTATTAAATTCTAATTTTTACATAATAATATCATGTGACATATATAAATATTTACAATATCAACTATAAAATTCATATAACATAATCAGCCAATTATGTGAAAGTCTTTCTATAACCATTAGACCTATCTTCATGACATTTTTGCAGATAGTGACAATGGCAATACCTTATCTATGAATAGACCATTCTACTATACCAATTATTTTATATACAAATTCTAATTACTTAAAAGAAACTCTATAGCAAACTGAAATTTACGAGCTTTAATGAAATTATGAACTTTTTTGATAGAATTAAATTTTAAAACAGAGGTATCACTCACACTCATAGCTATTATTAGACAACTAACACTATTGAAGACATGATCATAAATGATATCATTTGCTCAATCGTATCTGATTCTCTCTATGAACCTGAATTCTATACTGCTATAGTAGTAAATCAAATACATACTTATAATGCTAAATGGATCAGCAGTTTTGGGTTAAATATATAAGAAAGGATTTCCTCATCCTTTCAGTAATACAACACATTACGAAGAAATTAATTTCTAATATGTTTACAAATGCTTAATAGAGGCTGACTCCTAGGTCATTCCTTACTATCTCTTGATACTATTAATCTAAAATGTTTACATGAATGCTCAATATATTACAGAAAAAAGTTTCACAAAATACATAATGAAATATATCATGAAAAGAGAATCATCGAATATATTCAACATTTTTAAAATGATCTGTTAAGGAAATATATTATCGCATAAAGACTTAGCTCAATGGAATTGATATTTCTCCTTTTAAGCTACCAAATATGTAACTCATCTGCTATTATGAAGTATCTCACAACTGAATCTTCTGCTACAAGATCACGATTAATACTCCTTATTTATATAATAGAAGATAATGATGAAAACTGTATTATGATGATACCATGATAAAATACATGTCGCAATTCTAACTTTCTGAATTTAAAAACCTAACGTATCCTTAGTATTATGAATATTACTCAATTACATTATTATTACCACCCTTAATAACACGTTAAATTTATTGTGATGAATTGCATAACTATATTATTAAAAGTTCAAAAGAAATCATAGTTAGACACTGCTATCTGAAAGTTGAAGATAGTATATTATACTTTTATCAGCAGTTACTACTAAATGTATTCATAAGAAATGAACTCAACTATAAAGCTAGCCCAAATTGTACTTATCACAAAGTTTTCTATCTATGTATCTGAATTTTCTGACTGATTTATAAAACTAAGTTATGAATACTTATTAAGTACAAATAGAATGTCTAAATAACTAATTTGTTAAAATGTTAGATAAGCTTCTTCAATCTTTAAACATTCACTTTTCTACTAATCTCTCTGATATTATTCAAACTCAAATAAGCAATCTAAAAATCTTCCCTCATATTTATCTGAAAATGGTTATGCTCAAACTTTCTCGTGATCAATACTATGCATTATCAACTATCAACATATATATAAGTAAAAATGATAGAGTTAAGTGGCTGTAGTATTTTATAACCAGTTTAGTAGATACTGGAAAATTGTACATTTTCAACATAATCATAAACAATCTATTCTAAAACTATCAGAATTATCTTTTATTAGCACCTACTGGAGTCGCAACTCAGAACATTATGGATAACAATTCATTCAGAACTATGTATTACTTCTGTATAATTAAATTTTCGCATCTGTATTTATTCAAATAATGAGTTGAGATCTCACTTAAAAAAGATTATTACTATCATTATTGATGAAATATCTATGGTATTCATGAAATTACTAGATTTTTTATCTAATTTATTTGCTAACCTTCACAATAACATCATTGCATTTAGCGGTATAAATATCATAGTCATTAATAATCTTGCTCAGTTTTTACTATTTACTAGCCAACCCGTCTTTTATGTTACAGTCTAGCTATTATTTTTCCTTTATTTTTAAGAACTTCTCAATGCTAGAATAATGATACAGAATTTTATCGTATGTTGAAAGAAGTACAAATAGACAATCTTTCAACTAATATATAAAACAAACTTTAATAACATTATATGGAAATTTTAATTCGAAGCCTGTTAGATATTCTACTTAATATCACACATATAGTAGGCTTTAAGGAGAATGCTTAATTGATTAATAGGATAATATACAACTCTTTTTCTATTCTAGAAAATAAAGTTAGTACTGTAATTAAAAAGTTGCAACTCATAAGTTATAATTACTAATTACAACTTTTTAAAAATTTAACTAAAATTGCAACTAATTTAAAGTTGCAACTTTTATAATAGTTGCATCTTTTATTATAATTGTAACTTTTATAATAGTTGCAACTTTTATTTTAATTACAACTATTATAATAGTTGCAACTTTTAATATAAATAAAGAATACATAATTATATAACATTTTATTTAAATATACAGTATATACCAGTATTAGCATATAACATTATATAACTTATATGATTTATATAAATTATTATTTGTCATTTATTATTTATAAAAGATTTATGCCTTATGATTTTATATAGTTTTAAACAATCAAAAGAGTATTATATAATATAATAAAATAAAAATAAAAATAATAATAATAATAAAAATAAAAATGATAAAAAAAAAAGCCTAAAAAGAGAGAGTCTGGGAATATCAGAAAATTTTTTTATTATATATAAAAAAAGATTTTACTGATGCTTCTATTTTCTTTCTATAGAAATTTACCTTTCATTCTAAGCCTTGAAAATCCTTCAAATTCTAACAAAAAGATAAGCAGAGGATTATTTTTAAAATAAAAAATAAAAAAATATCAACTAATACTCACTCTATATCTTCTATAAGAATTTATATTTAATTAAATATAAAGTCTTTACTATCATCAAGGATTCAGTCAAGAGGAATGTTAGATCCTACAAAATGAGATAATTAGTTTTCTTTTTTTGATTAGAAGAGCTTACCTTTTGTAGATGATGAAAATTAACAATTTAGATCAAAGGTAAGTTCTAATAGAAAATTAAAGGAGAGAAAATGAAATTAGAAAAAATAAAAAAAATAATAAATTTAATTAAAAAACTTACTTTTTGTAGATGACGGAAATTATCAAATTCAGATCAAAGGTAAGCTCTAATAAAAAATCAGAGGAGGGAAAATGAAATTAAAAAAAATAAAAAAAAAATTAATTAAAAAACTTACCTTTTGTAGATGACAGAAATCACCAAATTTAGATCAAAAGTAAGTTCTAATAGAAATCAGAGAAGGAAAAGTGAAATTAGAAAAAATAAAAAAAATAATAAATTTAATTAAAAAAACTTACCTTTTGTAGATGACAGAAATTAGCAATTTAGACTAAAAGTAAGTTCTATTAAAAAATTAGAAGAGGAAAAGTAAAATTAAAAAAAATAAAAAAAAAATAATAATTTTAATTAAAAAACTTACCTTTTGTAGATAACAGAAATCAGCAATTTAGACCAAAAGTAAGTTCTAATAGAAAATCAGAAAAGGAAAAGTAAAATTAAAAAAAATAAAAAAAAAATAATAAAATTAATTAAAAAACTTACCTTTTGTAAATGACAGAAATTAGCAAATTCAGATCAAAGGTTAGTTCTAATAAAAAATCAGAGGAGGGAAAGTAAAATTAGAAAAAAAATAATAATTAAATTAAAAAAAACTTATCTTTTGTAGATGAAAGAAATCATCAATCTTAAGGTTTGATAGCAAGTTCTAATAGGGAAATCAGAGGAGAGAAAAAAATCAAAAAAAAAGTAAAAAATTACTATTTTTTTTATAAATTTTTTAAAAATAAATTTTCAAATAAATATTTTAATTTGACAATTAAAAAAAATCAAATGTTTTTTATTAAAGAAAATATATTTAAAATTGCTAAAAACTTTATTTTTTAACCATCTTTATACTACCTTTTCATCTATTTATCTAACTGAGAAAGATCTTTATATAAAAAAAAATAAATAAAAATGCTTATTTATATCCAAAAAAAATGAAATAAAAAAAAGTTTCGCATATATATATTTTTCTCAAGATAAAATATCACATACAATATCTTCTATATTAAATTCTTTCTAATCTTTGTTATCAGAAACAACCTGATCTTTTTCATAATGTGAAACATCAACATAATCTATAATAACTATCAGTTCCAAATTAAATTCTGACATTATATTTAATTTTCAATTGTATTATAATTATCAACTATCACAGATTCATTTAATTTGGATAATACTTGAGCTTCATCATCACTTATTTCCTCTTTTTCATAACTTTCGATCAATGAATTTTTAACCATTTGTACTATTTCATCTGTATCTTTTTTACAATATTATAATGTAATTCTTGTCTTGCATTTGCAATATAATATTGATATATTTTAATTAAAGATTTTATTGTACTAAAATTAAGATGAGTTTGTCTCTTTTCATAAATCCATCTAACAGATGACCAAACTCATTCACAAGCAGCTGCATTTGGAGTAATAGAGAATAATTAAATTGCTAAATCTTGTAATTATCTCAAATTTATAAAACAAGTACTCTACTATTTTAAAGGGGTATCACTACCTAATAAATAGGATGTATTATAAGAATGCTCTTGTAAATATAAGAACATAATTGTAATACTAATTCCTGATATTCTAGTTTTTTATTATCTATATTTTTCCAAAGATTTCCTGCTTTAATTAAAAATTCATCAACTTAAGAATTAGAAATTCCTTTTTCTAATTTATAAAAAATAATTTTAATATTTTTTAAATAAAATAATAATAATTTTATAATTTTTACCTTTATATTGTAGATATAACATAAAAGCTAACATAAATATTTCGTCATCATTAAACTTTTCAAATCTAACAATAAAAAAAATGAATTAATTTTTTAATTATATGGGTTCGTTGCTAGCAAAATCAAGGTCTGAAACTCATCCAATAAAATTTGAGATTTTAATTTCATTTTAATATGTTACACATGAACTTCATTTTCTTCTTTCATTTTTATTCTTTTGCTTGGTTGTTGATTAATTATCATATTCTTTTTTTTAGATCTTTAGGCTCTTTGGTTAGATCTAAAGTGGTAAGTTCATTCATTTCATTTTCTTCTTTGCTTCATTTTTATTCTTTCGCTTGGTTGTTGATTAACAACTATTTTCTTTTTTTTTAGATCTTTGAGTTCTTTGGCTAGATCTAAGGCGTAAATTCATTTCATTTTATTTTCTTCTTTATTTCATTTTTATTCTTTCACTTGATTATTGATTAATAACCATTTTCTCTTTTTTTTTAGATCTTTAGGCTCTTTGGCTGGATCTAAGATGATAAGTTCATTCATTTCATTTTCTTCTTTGCTTTATTTTTATTCTTTTACTTAGTTGTTGATTAACAACCATTTTTCTTTTTTGCTTTGTTTCATTCTTTCATTTGATTATTGATTAACAATCATTTTTCTTTTTTTTTATTTCTTTGGCAGACTCAAAACTTAATTTAAACTCAACTTGAATACTTGACTTGACTCAACTGCTTTTTTAATACTAGTAGATTTCATAATTGGCATTAAAAAATTTAACTTTAATAAAATTCAATGATATAAAGTGAGAATGCACAAAATGATAAATTTTTTTAATTTACCAAAAAATGTTAATTCAAACAATTAAATATTGATTGGCGTAAGTGAGAATACATAAATTTTTTTTAATTTACCAAATAAATATTAATTCAAATAATTAAATATTGATTTGCAGAAATGAGAAGAATGTACAAAATGATAAATTTTTTAATTTACCAAATAAATATTAATTCAAACAATTAAAAATTGATTAGCGTGAGAGAAAATGCAAATAATACAGTCAACGACCAAAATTATGTGGACATTTTAATTTGTCAAAATTAGGCAGCTCGATCTTTACGTGATTACATAATTAAAAACAATACATTCTTTTTTACTTATAATGATAAACAATACCCTAAACCTTTTCTCTTTTAAGTAAGTTCATGTCAAATATGAAAGTACTTATTCCCAAAACTCATGGTGCTATTGCTTATATTATAAATGTGAACAGTCAGATTATACCATAGCTAAACAGCTAGGGAGCAATAAAACGGCTGTTTATGTTATTCATAAACATTTTCGCAAAATCCAGTTCTTTAACATTAACTCTACCACCATCTAGTATTAAAGTACTTGAAAGTATTTAAAGGATACATGGAAAGATATTCCTCCAGAATATTGCAAAAAACTGATCGATATTATATCGCGGTGAATTGCCGCAAATGGAAATAGAATTAATTATTAAATTTTTTATAAATCAATAAATAAAGATATATTTGTATTTATTTTATTATGTGTATATAATTTTTTTTTTGATTTTAAAATGTCCGCATAATTTTGGTCGTTGACTGTATAATGATTGGTATAAGAGAAATGTTATCAAAATGCATGTAAATTTTAAATTTTTTTTTTTAATTTACCAAATAAATATTAATTATAGAATTAAAATAATACTAATATTAATTGATATGAAAGAAAATATTATCGAACATGTAAATTATCAAATAAATGTTTAATTCTAGAATTTAAACAATACAATGTTGATTAGTATAAGTGAAAATTACTGAATAATTTTTTTATTTAAATGGTTTAAACTTCAGGTAAAAAAAATTATACCTTGTAAAAAAGTGTTAAAAGAAATTACAATCCAATTAATTATCTAACTAAAATTTTTTTATACAATAAAATCATCTATAATAATAGAAATTACTTCAAAATAATATGATTTAGTTAGTTTCAGATTAAATGAATATGCTGAAAATGAATTAGTTTTTGAAGTTATTTAAAATTTGATGGAACTTTTTGAAAAAAAAGGATTGTAATTATCGACAAGGTTCAAAAAATAAAAAGGATAAATAAACTTATTATAAAAAAGTTTGTTTTAAAAAAATTTTTAAAAGATATATTGAAATTCGTTCTTTAGAAAAATCTCAGTTTGAAATCTTTTTAAAAGCATAACTATTGTCATTTGAGACAACCAATGAAAAAACCAAAAATCCCTCAAGAGTAACATACAAATACAATTTTAATAACTCCCTCTCCCTTTGTAAACCCACTTTTTTTAAAATTGATTGAGAAAACTGATTATTATTTATCAATAATTCAAAAATATTTACAAGATAATAGTTTAGTGGAATGTACACATGGAAATACTGATCATACTCCAATACTTTTATCACATGCTTATATTAATTTAGATGTTTCATTTTCAGTAAAAAATTTTTTAATTCAATATGATAACATTCATGGTTTACCTTTCCCTTTACGTTATCAAAATGATTTAGGTGTTTTTATTTATTTACTAACTAAAAATACATATACGCAGAGGAGAATCGGAATCCAGTATCAGTTTATGATAGCTAGTCTGCTTAAAAAGTTTTCTAAGTCCAAAAGTCTGTATATATCAATTTATGAAAAATATATAAAGAATGTTGAACATGATCAAAGTCAAATAATAATTTCTTATACTATTTTTATAAAACTTTGGCATGAATTAGCACCACAAATAAAATTTCAAACATTAGCGAATGACTTATGTGAAACTTGTGAAATTTTAAAAGTAGAGTTAAAAATTGTAAAACATGATATTGATGAATATAATAAAATTAAAATCAATATGAATTACATATTAAAGCAGCAAATCTAGAATATGAGCACTATAATAAAAATATTAATGAAAGTAAAAATAATAAGTTAATAGCACATATTTGTTATAATTGGACTCAAAATGTATCAGTTCCATATTTTCTACAGCAAATAAGAACCATTTATTTTAAAAATACTTTTTATGTTCATTTATTTGGTATATGCAAAACTAAAGGTGGTCAAAATTATCAGTTGAATTTTTTTAATTGCGGAAGATAAATTTCTTAAAGACATAGCCAAAAGGGCTAATACTACTTTAAATATGATTTATAGTGCACTTCAAAAATTTGCATGTATAAGAAAAAAACATTTAAAAATTACTTGCGACAATTGTTCAGGACAAAATAAAAATAATCTTTTTTTATGGTTTTAGATATGGTTAGTTATATTAGAATGGTATGAAGACATTATTATAAATTTTATGATTCCAGGCTATACAAAATTTATTTGTAATTCATTCTTTGAACATATTAAAAAAGTATATAGAGACACAAGAATTAATACAATTAATGATATAGAAAGAGTTGTAAATTGCTCATCTAAAGGAAATAAAGCAATTTGTTATAAAAACGGATGAATTTGGTATAATTTTAAAAGTTTTTTTAAAACTATTTTATTCCTCTTCCTAATATAAAAAAACACTATCATTTTCATTTTAGTAGTTTGCCTAGTAATATTGGTAAAGTGTATGCTTCAAAGGAATCTGAAGGATCAAAAATTCCTTTTATACTACTATGGGATAGTAGTTTTGATAAAAATTGTGATATAGGTATAAATCCTATTTCATCATTAACAAAAAAAAGAAAACAATATTTATATTCTAATATTTGTAAACATGTGAATGATTCATATAAAGATGTTCATTTTTCCAAATCCAGTGAACATTAATTATTTTAAAAAAAATTTTTTCCTTAATAAAAAAGAATGATAAAAAATGAAAAAGGTAGGAGGGAAGAGAATAAACGAAAAGAAGAAAAAAGAAATTCAAAAATAGAGATAATAAAAAGGAAAATTGAAAAAAAATAAGGGAGAAATAAAAAAAGGTGAAAGAGAAAAAACAAACAAAAGAAAAGAAGAAAGAAATTCAAAAAGAAGGTATAGAATAAAAAAGGTGTTAAAAGGAGAAAGAACAAATAAAGATTCAAACAAAGACAAAATGAAATTGAGTCAGAAATCAAAAAAAAATTTTAAATTGATTTATGATGGGATTATGCATGAATTTTTGAAAAACCTGTTTTATAATAATCAAATCATATTTCATTTAATTGATCATAGTAAAGTTAATTATTTTTGAAATGCCTTCACTAAATGCGAAAAAATATGTTTTAGATGGTAAATTATTACTGAATGCTCTTAGTTATAATTTTCGCATTATCTTAGGTAGCACTTTATTATGCTGTAAAGTACATGCTTAGTAGCTTAGATCCTATAGTAGCACTTCGATAAAACTCTTTTTCAAATGGCACTTCAATGATAAAATATAAAGCTTATATTGAAAACCTTTTCTGAAATACACTCCATAGTAAAGGTCGAATCAGCAACTGATTTTATCAAAATATGAATGAACATCAGTGAACTTTCAGTTGATAAAATCTATGTTGAAGATGTAAAGAATAAGGTTGAATTTATACAAGGAGTTTTTTCAAACAAGATTAATCTTGAACCAAATATTCAAGGAAATATGTCAGCCTATTTTAGAGAGATTTGGCTTGATGTGATAAATTAGAAGCTCTTCATAAGACAGCACATAACGAGTTACAAGCTACTTTATTAAAATATAATGAAACCATAAAAAAAACTCAAGAAACATTATCCACAAGAAGCAAATCACTACTTAATTCATCAAAAGGATCGAAAGGATTCAAAAAATCATAACAATAACTTATAATATAAAAAATAGATTAAACCAGATTGAATTTGATTATCAAATAGCCGTGGAATACATGACAAATACAGAACAAATATTAAATATAATAAAAGATGAATTAATGCAAAGTAATTAGAAATAGAAAAATTAAATAAGAAATTAGAAAATAGGCTCAGAGAATTATAAGACACGATGAATTCTTATTCCAACATTTAAAGGATAAAAAGAAAAAAGCCAAAGCAAAAAGTGAACAAGTGTTAGAGAAATTAGAAGTAAGTTATTATTATATATTGTATTATTATATTTATTTATCCATTGACTTTTGATTAATTATTTATAGATGAAAAATACAAAATTAATTGAATATGAAGAAGTAATCTCTGAAATAATTTTTTCAGATGAGATTTCTATTAGTTTTAAATGTAACTATCTTTTATTCGTATTTTATAATAATGTAATTAAAAAATATTTTTTTATTAATATTTTCTTTTTTTTAAAAAAAAAACCATTAAATTAAATCATTAATGTAAATAAAAAGTTGATTCTTTTTATGATATGAAAAGTGCTGTGTTAAAATCTCCAGATATTATTATTATTAAATGCTCATTTAAAAAAACTGTAATCAGAGACTATAAAGAAGTTAGTAAAACGTAAGATACCATACGAGACCTTGCTGTAAGTAAAATAGAAGAGAGAGGGTTAGAAAATCAGAATAAGAAAACTGGACAGGTATAAAGTTTGTCAAAAATGGGATGCAACTAAAACATTCCTACTTGTTGAATGACTTTATAAGGTTTGTGTGAAATATTTTTTTCTTTTTTTTTATTTTTATAAAAATTTAGTTCATTTATCATGTTTCATCATACCTATTGAATTGTTTAATATAGCGTTGGTAATTGGAAGAAAATTTTAATCAATCTAAAATACCCTTTTCAAGGGATCAAATAGCTGTTAATTTCAAAAATAGGTAAATTTGTAGTTTTCTTTTTTTTTATATAATAAAGGAATGTGTTTTTTTTTGACCAAGTTAATTTTTTTTGTAAAATAATATTAGTATAATAATTCCTGGTTGAGAATTACAAGTGATTAATAACTGAATTTAATGCATCAGATCAGACAAAATCGATAAATTAACCATTACAAAAATTGCACTTTTTCTTAAAAAAATTATTATGATCCTAATAAATGATTGGATTATTTTGAAGGTATAGAGTTGCGTTCTCTGAAACATATGCTCATTTTTATTTTATTAAATCACGAAAGTTGAATTATATTGAACAACCAGATTCCTAAATCATAAAGAAGTTTTATGCATTGCCATTTCAAACTTTACAAAGATCTGAAACGCCTGACATATAAACACTTTTTTTTTATACATTATATTAAATTAGAAAAAAGAATGTGCATTCTTGTAATACAATAACTAATATTTCAAATATCAATTAAAATAATTGTTTAATAATCACAAAATTATAGTTATCACATAATCAGATATTAAAAAATATCAGGGAAATCATCATAAACAAACATTATTAGATAGAAATTATTTTTGCTGTAAAAAAAATAAAAATAAAAAATTTTAAATATAATTTTTTAAAAATTAAATTTAATATTTTAATCACATATGTAATAAAGATAATTTTTAAAAAAGAGAACTTTGATCATATAACAATATCTCAGAGGTTGATTTTACTGGTAATAGATAAAATAAATGCTGTATAAAATTTGGTTGTATAATAATATCTCGGAGGTTGATTTTTTGTAAAAAATTAAAAAAATAAAACAAGATATTAAACAAGATATCAACAAGAAATCAACAAGAAATCAAACAAGCCAATTTTAAAAATAGTAGCAAATTTAATCATCAATAATTGGTTTAAAAATCAGGAGTAAATTTTGATTGCTTTTTTATCAAAAGTTATAAAATTATCTCAGACTTTGATTTTGCTGGTGACGAACTCATATATCATTAAATATATTTTAATAATAACTAACTTGATATTAAATTTTTTAATACAATGATTTTTAAAACCACTATAATCAGAATTTGATATATTATTTATCACAATACTAATCTTTAATAACTGAACATAAGAATTAACAAGATTGGTATTTTTACTTTCAATATTCAAAATAGCATTTTTAATTAGTATTAAAATATTATTTAAGATTTTAACATCGTTAAAAAAACCCCTTTTATTGATTATTTTTTTAACGATATTACTAATTTCACTTGAATTATTTTCATAAATCTATTATAAGAAAAAATAATAATTAAATAAAAATTAAAAAATTAAAAAATTAAACAATATATATATTTAAATGTATTATTTACTTACTTTAATAAGACATTTTTTAAATGTAATATTGAATTAGTACATTTAGCAACTGATATCTATCTTGTTTTAACAAATATCTTTAATCTACCTCTAGTTATTTGATATTTTGTAATTAATTTATTAATTAAATTATTGATTTTTTAAAAAATTTAATTACTAAATTACAATATTTAATTGTTTTATCAGCAAAATTATGATTTAAAAAATTATGAGTTATTAAATTGAAACAATGCAGCAATGCATTTAACATTAAAAATTTTTGGAAATTGATTGGTAATCAAATTATGTGTTACAGTTATATTTGGTCCATTATCAGTAATTATAGTAGCAAATTTTTTAATTTCAATTGAATTAATTACTTTTAATATTTCTTCTACTAAAAAGTTTCCTATATGTTTTTCTTCAGATAAATCTTGTATCTTATATAAATATTCTTGTCTAGTTAGTGTCAATATTACAAAATTCCAAAATAATCATTCAGTTAGCGATGTCCATTTATCAATAGCTAATGTTAAATTTAATGTATTATTTAAAACCTTTTCTATTTTTAGATTTATCTGAATTACTTCTTTTTCTAATAATTTTGTAGCTAATTTTCATTTTGATGGTGGATTGTATCCAGCATATAATGCTTTAAGTAATTCAATAAAAAAGGGATTTTCTATAATATTAAATACTATATTACAACATACAAATATTTTTAATAAAATGCTATCAATTTCTCTAATTCTAGATTCACTAAGTCTAATTTTTTCAAAATTAAGTGTTGTTTGA